TCCTTTTATGATATTATCCTTCCTTTTTAAAAGTAGAAATCAACATGTAACAAATAAAAGTTGTTGGAAATTTTATTCAACACAGAAATTTTAAAAAAATGCTATCTAGGCATTTGACGAAAGAGGTTATTTCATTCACTTATCTAGGGAGCATTGTCTCAACTACAGGAGGAACGGACGAGGATGTCAAATCGAGAATCATGAAGGCGAGAAACACATCATCATCATCAACCTGAAACCAATCTGGAAATCTTCGTCACTCAACTCAGCATCAGCAATAAAATTCGGATTTTCAACACAAACGTCAAGTCAGTTTTGCTATACGTACGGATCAGAAACTTGGTGGGTCACAAAGAATATTTCCAACAGGCTGCAGACCTTTATCAACAACTGTCTTCGCTCTTTACTGAAGATCACATGGCCGGAAAGAATAACCAGTAAGCAACTATGAGAACGAACAAAACAAGAACCAATCGCCCAACAAATATGCAGGAGAAAGTGGAGGTGGACTGGACACTCTCTGAGGAGGCCGCTGGGTGACATCGCGTGTCAGGCCATAGCTCGAGTGGAACCCGAAAGGGAAGCGGCGAGTAGGACGTCCAAGGGTGACATGGAGGAGATCGTGTGAACAGGAACCGAAACAGTATGGATTAACATGGACGCAGGTGAAAAGTACATCAGAAGACAGTAGCATGTGGAGACGTGTAGTTGAAATCCTATGTTCCACTAGGAACCCAAGGGAACAATAATAATAATAAGGCATTTGACGAAAATTATTTCCTTAAAGGTAATAATTATTTATTATCTATTTTTGAGACTATCTGAATCAATCTTTGGATTGGTAGACTTTTATTGATTGACTGAATTTCAGCATAGTACACTGAACAGAAGTGCAGCCGTTCAAGCTGTCCCATTCCATGTAGGTGGACAAAAGAGAGAGAGAGGTCGAAAGAGATCCAAAACAAAAATATAATAAGCAAAAACGTACAGGAGAAGGAGTAACTTCATGAAGAAACATGAGGACCTAGTGGAATGGACAGATTAGAAAGAATGAACGTATCTGAACAACCGAGAAGGGTTTTGAGCCAAGTCATTGGTTCTTGGCGACTTTAACAAGGTGGTCTACACCTCCATATGGAGCTAGTCAAAACCAACTGTCCAAGACTTCATGGAATGATGCCAGGTTTTGATTTGACAACCCCTAACTCTTTTCCAACCAAGTACTATTCAGTGTCGGTTAACATTGCTCGATGCGAAGGGAGGTGGCTTGTCATGTGTAATACTTGCCCTAGTCATCTTCACCGATGTAGCCTCACAACGTCATCCATTGACCTACATCTAACATCAAATTTCTCACCATATTACATAGAACGCAGACACCTATGATAAATGACAGGCGACTATTTTGTATCTTCCACTTTCAATGGCCATGTTTAGCTCGCAGCGATAAAGGAGGAGGAAGCGAAGTGCCAGAAATCACGTCTACACTAGAGATGACAAAAAGTTGGAGGATGACAAACGTGTGGTCAACACACTCTACCACTTCACTCCCTATCTTTAAACTTGTAGTTGGTGTAGACTTTTATTATGATGCAATGGTTGATGACTGGAGGTGAAGGAATTGAAACCAGCGACCTTAATTACTAGTCCAGCATTCTACCACGTGAGCCCAACTAGCTTATCATTGAGTAATACTCAAATATCATACAGATGAATGATACGTTACTGACCGTTTACCTTTAAACTAGTTATATCACAGGTATATATCAAATGCTTTTTAAAGAGGAGAACATTGTCATCAAAAACCATTTCTGCTTTATTCCGGTATAAATGCTTAAAATTTCACTATTCTGTCTTCTCGTATCCTACTTTCTTCTGCGTTTATTTTTTAAAGTTGTCCTCATCTTCTATAGATAGCTGCCTTCTAAAAGTATACCACCTAGCAGACAATATTCGTCAGTTCAACTAACATTTTAAAGTTAAACCATAAGACTGACACAAGTACAAGAACCATTGGAAGCCATGGAGTAGTGGAGAGTTTTATCGTCCTAGTTTGAGAAATTTAAATCATTTCACTCTGTGCTAAATATGGCGCTGAAGATGTTGTCCGGAAGGACGACGAAAGCTTCGCGACTAAACCAACCAGCTCAGAGAACACTTTTAATTGCTAGTTTGAGACTATTCAGCAGTATAGCCTCCTGACCTCAAAAAGGGTTGAGTCCAAGATCTTCATGCTGTGATGCGAGCCCGTTGATTGTCTAGCCACTAGAAACAGAATCCTGTGGTTCATGGATCCTAACTTCTACCTATTCTTGATACATAGCAAATCATGATCATTACGCTGCTGAAGAGTCCCAAACAAAAACGAAATAACTATCCCGCTCTCACTAGTTTCCATTGGTTTTCTAAGTGATATCAGTTCGTGACCTAACTTCAAATCAATCACATCTTTGCAAACCGACATGTGAAAATTATTTTCCACTATCTTCTCTTCAGTATTATTGAACATGAAATGAGTTGCATTATTCTCATTCGTGAAACTACTGAATGCAGTTCATTCGGTAGCTAAACATTATTATGCATATAGGTATAAATACATATATATATTAGTTGTTCAGGGTTAGAATATGTGACAGTAATGCACGTGTTTGCCATCCGACTCCCAGGGGATGCACCTCTGAATAAACCTCACTTGGCCAGTAGTAGGTCAGGAAAGAGGTAAGGTTGTGCGTGAGACTAGGATCCTCACCCCTTAAAAAAGCAACAAAACAAGTGCTACTGAAACTTCAAGGCTTGAAAGGCGAAGGAATGCAAAAAAATTACGAAATGAGTAATGGCACCCAAAGTTAAACTAATATCCTTCAAAATGACCTTGAACAACCAATCATACTAAAGGAATGAAAAGTATTGTGCGTTGGTAGTTCATTGATAGAACTCTTGCCAATCACGCATCACTTGGTCCGGGATTCGATTCCTAACCAACGCGCTCCTGTTCCTCGCTTAACCAGTAGTAAGCCAGGTAAAGAAGGAAGGTTGAATATAAGCATAATAACGGCACCCCGTAAAAGACAACTCTACCACCATTGAAACTTCGAAGGTCAAGCATGAAGCCCTGTGTCCTACTCGGAACTCAAAAATAAATAAATAAGATATATATGTATACATATGCGTTAAAGCTACCAGCACTTTGGATTTATCCCAATTATTATCAAACACACTAGATTCCATTAGTACTAATCGAACAACTAAACAGACGAGTAAAGTGAACAACTAAGCAATAAAAATCTCCTGCTTTTCATTGATGAGGGTTCAATTAGTTCAGAGGTCTTAAAATGTTGTCAAGCCTTTCATAAATGCATAAAACTTTGTCTGAGTTACAGGTTTAATATAATCACATTTAAATGTATTCGAGGGACTTTATCAGTTCAGTGAAGACAACAAGTCAAACTGCACTGAAACATAAAATTTCAATCATATTCACTCAATCTTTTAAAGCATATGTTTTGGAAGAAAATTTGCTGAATGGAATTCGGAAATATCCTGTTCTTTGAATTAGTGTTCGGCAGTTAGAAGCAATCAGACATGAAACCCTTGACACAGGTTTCGTACCTATTGGAACTCTTCAGCAAGGCGTATCTGACGTAACTTGATGCAACTGGATGCCATGCTGAAAAAGATCAAGGTTTAAAGCTTCTTGCCATTTGCTTTCAACCACACATAGCCCATTAGAAACATTTTATTGCTTACACCTTGGTGACCAATGTATACTCTCTCTCTCTCTCTATATATATATATATATATATATATACATATATATATATATGACTTTTGGGAGGAAAAGCTACTCTAATCAATAAAAATAATTGACTGAAGTCAAATCACTCTTATTTTGAGCATTTCTGATCTGTATGACTTTCGACTGATATTTATAATGGTAGCAACGTGACTACAAAACAGTACAATATATTATAAATTTTGAAATAATCTAGGATCTGTTCAAGTAGAACAGTAGTCTATGAAGTATTATCATGTGGCACAATGATCTGAAGCATAAACTAATCAATACCTCATAATATTTTTGCTTCATCTCCGAGAAATGTGCAACTGTTAGTTTCACAGCAAGTCAAAAATATGCTTGATTACATTTTGCAATTCATCAAGATAACTGTGAATGGCTAATAAACAATAAGAATTAGAGGAAAGATGATGTCAATGGACGTGAACATTGAACGTTTGTTTATTGGAACTGGTAGCCATTGGTGGGCAACTCGAAGGCGCAAATGGTTCGATCGCGTGCAAGTTGGATGAAGGCGGAAAGGAATACGAATAAAAGTACTTTATAACTTCATTTGTACTAAACATTTGTTTGTAGACTCTGTATTTTGTCTCGCTTTAATTGCCAAACAATAAAAATTCGTTCAAGGAATACTGGTGTTTTTGATTTAAAGTTGAAACGAAATACTCAGTCATTATCGGTTCCAATCGCCTACGTTACAATAGGAAATTAGGGCTAAGTTCCTTGACAGATGATGTATTGTGTTGGATAGAAATTCAGGTAGATAGCCCAGTGATTCATTAAGCAGGCCACCAGTTCCTGAGGAAATAAATTTTTACAATGCCAGTTGTATCAAAGTAATGACATTACCTAGTTTCAGGCTAATTTCACTTATGATAATGACTACTACTATTGTCAGTATGATTAATGGGTCAGTTGGTTCAATGCTAGAATGCTCATTAGCCAAACAGGTGGTTCAAGTTCGATTCTTGGCCAACCCACTCCTAAATCTTGCCTGATTTAAAAGCTGGCACTAGGCTTGGTAAAAAATGGGTAAGGTTTATCGTGACGTCAGCAATCTCTCTCTCTCCCTGTGTGCATAAAACAGCACGATAGCCACGAAAAATCTTGAAAAGCTTGAAGTAAAAAGTGATAAGGCCAAATAAGAAATCATATAAATAGCACTCTTATAGAACAACCAAAAATGTAACATTAATAAACTCACCCAAAATGGTAATGATTTTGTAAACATTAGATATCGTCTACTTTCTACAACTCTTGTCATTGTATGCGTTAAACTATGTCCATGATGATTTAAATGACCTCGATTACGATGACGATGATGGTGATGATGATTATGATTGTGGTGATGATGGTGATGATGATGATTGTGATTATGATGATGACCATGATGATGACGATGATGATGTTGAGCATTATCCCCGCTGACTACTATTCCTACTTTAGATTGATTCTGTTTTATACATTGTGATATTTCATTTGGTATAGGAATTAAAACACTAGAAGTTGATGTAGCACTTGATACACCTCCAGTGTTGATATTTTGAGACATCATTTTCCCCCGGTATTTATTCGCTTCATTAGGAATATTTTCTTCAGATCTTGAAAAATGCTCTAGGAGAAATCCTCTTGGTAATGATGGTGGTGGTGGTGGAGATATGGTTAAACTTTTACGATCCGCTGCCGCTCTTCCGCTAAGACTTCCAGCTATTTGTAATTAAATTAAATAAAAATAAAGACAATACGTTAAAAAGATTAGGAATCTTGTACAGAGTATTTATAAACATCTATTATTCAATGATGTGCGTCGATAGAACGCTCACCAACCACAGACTTCATCTGGGGTTCACTCCCCGGCCGCCGCATCCCTAAGCCTCGCTAATCCGCTAGTAAGCCAGGTAAAGAGGGAAGATTGCCAGTGAAGTTAGCAACCCCGCCTCGTAAAAATAAACACCACTGCTACCGAAACTTCAAAGCTCTAGCACCAATCACCATCAATGGGAGAGATTTGAAAGAGGGTACTTCCTTCACTTATCTGGCCAGGAAGCATAGTTTCAAACACAAATGGATGGCACGGATGAATTTGTCAAAGCTAGCCAGAATCGGAAAGGCAAGATACTCCTTCATCAACTTGAAACCAGTTTGGAAATCTTTTACAAGATTCGGATTTTCAAGTCAGTCAGATGTTCTTTATGGGTTAGACACTTGGGCATTGCGTGTCACAATTTACAGACATTTATCAGCTGCCCTCTCTGGCTCCATACTAAGGATCGAATGACCAGTTGGCTGACCAGAAAGAATTAGCAGCAAGAGACTCTGGCTGGGAACAAACCAACCAAGAATCTATCGTTCAGCAAATATGAAGGATAAAATGGAGGTGAATTGGGCATACGTTGAGGAGGCTGTCGAATGACATCGCGCGCAATGCAGGCGATAGCTCGAGTGGAATCCAAGTGGGAAGCAACCACTGGATCGACGGTGCGAGGGTGACATAGAGGAAACTGAGTGGGCAGGAGGAGATGAAAGATTATGGGCAGTTGTGTATTCAGCTGAAGAGGACGGTAAATAACAGATGAAAGTGAAGATGTGTTGTTGAAGCTCTGTGTTTCACTCGGAACCCAGGGGAATAATAATAATAGTACAACTCTAGTTAGGGCAAACTTAACATTTAGTTAGAATACGAGCTATTCTGCAACTAGTGAAACCTATCCTTGAGATTACTATTGTCATTAATATTATTATTGTTATTATTTAGACCATAAGTTAGATTTCTTCACAAACCAGTATCAGTAAGCGATAGAAGCGAGGACCAGGGAGTAATGACCATCTGTTGTGTAAGAGTTTGGGAGTCTTCAGTTTGTGTGCGCCCACGACTCCACCAGAAAATGAATCTAAGACCAAGTTCGTTGACCACCCAACCGCTTGGGCAGAAATTCAGTGGTCCGTGAACTATAAATTTGTCAGTTCATGATATGGTGCTTAACTTAACCAATTGTTTCAGTTGGTATTGCACTTCACTTTGACACGATGGACCTCATTGGTCACGAATTCTCAGTACATAGCTGACAGGATATCCATCAAGCAGCCATCAATAAGCCGGAGATTGATATTTACATCATGGTGGTTATATAGGGATTAGGATTTATTTCCACTTATAAGATTTTCATCACAAACTAACATCAGTTAGACAAATCATCGAAATTCAGGGAACACTGGATAGTTGCGCTTCGTGAAGTGAGGGTCCCAGATTCAATCTTTAATGATGGAGTCGTTAGCATATACCGTTGAAGACTCCCAAACTAAGATGAAATACTTGTCTAGTACTTTCACATGATTCTGAATGGTCTATCCAAACGTGATATTACATCGTGACAAAATCTACACTGAAATTATTTCTATTACTATTAGTGTTACTATTATCTGTGTTATTTTGTTTGCTCTAAGCCAAATCAAGCATTATACGCATCTGCGCATTTGTTGTGTTTGTTTACTCGCACTGCAGGTAGGTTCGATAGATTAGTAGATTAGGTGTAAACAAATTAAGACTTAGTATATGCATACTACAGAAAAATAATCCAAGCAAAACTTAATCGATAAACCAATAATGGGATAGATATAAAAAGTAAACAAACAAAGGTTTATCTGTATACATACATATATATTCGAGTGCAGAGGGGTGGGGGCTTTGTTGCATATCCAGAATAATTCCATCAAGGCCCCTCCCCCCCTCCCTCCTGACCCTCTACATCCTATTTCCGTTTTCTACTTTCATCCAAAAATAAGCAGAAATAAACATTAGCTTTCAATGTGATGTAGAGGAAATAAAAAATAGGAAAACAAAACAACAAATGAATGAATTATCGAGAAAACAATAAATATTTGTTTATTCATTTTCTCTGTTGTGTTGATGTTGTTGTTGCTGTTGTTGTTGTTGTTTTTGTTGATATTCGTTCAATCATATAGAGAATTCACAAAGCTGAACACGTGAATTAGTAGAAAATCTGTTAAAAATCGATAAACGATTAACCTTTTAGTAAAAAGATTTTTTTTAATTTTGGCATTGAATATGTCATGATAGACTTTTTAAAAATAGATTTTTTGCTTGCAGGAATTCATGATGAACTGATGTAGATTAGAAAACCATTGGAAAACCTGCAGGGAGTACTGGACAAATGTTTCGTCCTAGTTTGGGACTCTTCAGTTGTGACTAGTGGGGTCCACCCAGTTGAGTGTGAGGAACCATTGGTTCAGGTCCTCGTGGGTGAATGGTCTATGAGCCATTGAGAGCAGAAGACATGAAAAGATTAGCTACCTTTGATCATAGCTGCCTGCGCTCTATCTCCCGTGTGAAGTGGTATAATAAGGTGAGGAATATTCAGGTTAGGCTTCGGTCGAGTGCTAGGTAAGGCGGGGAAATCAGTCGACGAAACTGTGAAATTGCATCGACTGAGATGGTTAGGGCATGTGTTACGTATGCCTAGTCATCGCCTTCCTCGATGGGCAATGTTAGCCACTGATATAGGATGGATCAGGCTGTAAGAGACATAGTGGTGGTCAAACGAAAACATGACACCAGTCAATGAAATCCACAACAGTTAGTTTAAGCTACGTAGGAAGGTGTAAACTTCCTGGTTGGGGACGGTAAAAACCAATGGCCGGAAACAATTGGGGATATGGCTCAAAATCATTCTCATTGGCTGGCTCAGATGCATCCACTCCTCGTGACTTATGATTTCAAATGAAACTATATTGTTCTTCGTTACTACTATTCTTTTGTCTCTCACTTCTGTTTACTGTCTATATTATGCATTTCTTCTACTTTCTTCTCTTCCTTTGTGTGCTACATGAAGTATGGCGACTTGAACTGCCGCACATCTGTGCAAAGTTCTATATCGAAAACCGACCGACCGACCAGTCTATGAGCTCGTTTTGTAAGCAGAAGGTCCTGGGTTCAAACCCCACATGTGGGTGCGTAGTTCTGAAGAGTCCCAAACTAGGACGAAACAGTTATTCAGTACTCCCTGTAGGTTTTCCGATGGTTCCCTCACTCATTTCAGATCATGATGAAATCCTCCAAACAATCAAACTAAATCCCCACAAAATGGAAGGTATGCTGACAATCTTTACTCTGTATAAACGTTATAATGGATGATAAACTCATTATTGGTGACAATAATGACCGGAAAAAAAAACTAAATTCTGAAGAAAAACTATAATAAACAGAGATATGAGGGAGGAAGAAGAGGTTACACAAAAAAAACATGACGACTTTATTAATACTGAAGATTACAAAGAGTGTGAGTGCATTTCAGCCATTATGCCGAATGATGATCTCCACATCCATTGGATCTTAACACCTCGAGGACTCCAACTAGGCAATCTACACCTCCCTACGGAACTGGCTCAAAAACCAACTGAGAAAGACCTTCATGGACTGATACGAGGTTTTGGTGTTATACACTTACCTATGCTTATTAGCCTTGGTGACAAACTAACAACAACTGCATCAATATTATCAGACTTACACTTATTACTCGCACGTTATACAATAACTAAAAAATACCTAGTTCTTTTTGACTATGCATCCAATTTAAACAGACTAGATTAAAACAAGCGACAAGGGATAATAAAGCAAGATTTAGTGAATGCTCATCAAATTTGAGTGAAACTCTTCAACTGGATACTCTACATACATAGAGAGATATAAAATCAAGATAAAATGCAATACGTTCAACTACATGCCGTAAATAAACAATCAGTTATCAGTGAGTGAAAGAACTTGCACTGATGATGATGACAATAATAGTTATGCTAATAATAGTAACAATAATACTTAGAGAACCATTGGAAGACCACCAAGGAGTACTGGACAGCCGTTTCGTCCTAGTTTGGGACTCTTCATCAGTACACACCCACCGGGGTTCGAACCCACAACCTTCTGGTCACAAGGCAAGCTTGTAGACCACTAAGCCACTGGGAACCGATCCAATGGCCAATTCATGAATTCCAACTTCTGCCAATTCATGACATTGCGCGACCACTTCGCAGCGTCTTTTTCGATGAGTTACTGCCTCACCTTCAACCTGCTGTACTCTACTGGTCACAGCTTCCCACTAAAAACCATCACCATGGTAATTTGTTTTACTTATTAACTGTTCGCAATTTTGAACTAAATAACATTGATGATGATGATAACAGTAATGCTAATAATAATAATAATAATAATAATAATAATAATCAATAATAGTAATGTTAAAACGAGGTAAAATAATGATGATGATAAAAGATAGTTTTAAATGAATCAGAAATCGTAGTAATAAAAGGTAGAATAAAGTGTTAATAATACTAATAATAATAAGAGTTAATAAGTAAAAAATATTACCATGGTAGATTCAAAATGACCACCATTTCCTTTTGTACACAGAGACCTGGTTTATAAACTCGAAATGCACAAGCCTCTTCGTCAATCGCAGGCATCTTCCTGTTTGTTTGTCTGCTGGCAATAATATTGAATGACTTGACAGCGCGTCAGTATTATGTCTGTAGTCCACAAGATGCTTTGTTATTGAACTTTTTGCACTTCGACTTCAACTGTTTTCAATCACCTTAGCAAATGTTCCAATATGCGAGTAGACAATCGCCTATCTGTACGACCTATGTATTTGCTTGCACAACACAAACACACTCAAATTGACATACTCAGTTTG